TATATACAATTGCCACATTGGTAAGTCTTGAGTTAAGGAAATCCTCTTTGTTTTACATAAAGTTGTATTTTCTGATTATTTAGCTATAACTTTTGATAGAATAAAGATAATTTAACACTGTTTATTGTATTACATTAAACATTAAACCATCTTTCTAATGTAATTAAATATTTAATTTTTGCATTATTATAAAAAGACTGATGTTATGAGCAATTAAACCCTAAAAATGTAAAATGTCCAAAAGGTTCCACTATATTGGCCACTAGTGTAAGAAGTGTATCTCTGTCTTAGAATGTCTTGTGAAAGTCCTGATGTTATCACAGGAGATAAATTGTGCAAGGCACCTCTAGCACTCTATTCGTGCCCTGATGGCTATCTTTCAATGCACTTGGTATATAAGTCTTTAGGAGAAGAATCTTAACACATCAACATTGTTGTGACTTTTATTACACTTGTCCTTCTCATTTCTTGTATACCTGCTCTGAAAAACAAAATGTATCTTTTTAATCATAAAGGGCAATATTACAAAGAAGAAATTAGACAAGTAAAAATAGTAAGAAATGCTAATTTATTACCAAAGGATATCTAATCAAACATAAAACATTTAAAAACCGTCTGGTTTCCCCATTCCATCTTTATGTTATTGCTATGTAACATCTAGAACAATACATTGTAGGAGTCTGAGATTTGCAAAGTCAAACATTATTTTTAATGCACTTTGTTGATATTACTTTAAAAAATCAATCCTGTTGAAAGGAGGAAGTGAGAAAAGCTTCTTTGACATTTAGAAGTGATGGTTATGGCCACGAAAGATGCACTTGCTATTTGGAAAAGAAAAGCAAGAATTTACTCAGTAGTGCACAATTCTCTACGTCAGTGGTTCTCAGCCCAGTCCTCAAGTACCCCCCAACAGTCCAGGATTTAAGGATTACCCAGTTGTGTCTAAGCTGTTTTTAGAGAGAAAAAAAACAAAACAATTTAGACACAACAGAGTAATCTCTAAATCCTGGACTGGTAGGGGCTACTTGAGGACTGTGTTGGGAACCCCTGCTCTACGTCATGTTCCAATCTCTGTTAACCCAATTCCTTTCTAACACCATCACTCTCACTCGCACTGAATAAAGCATAAAGCTTGCAATTTATTAAGCCACCCTTACTTTTCCTTTGCTACAATGCAGTTGTCCATCTTGCAGTGAAACTTAATTCTGTCTCTCTACATCTCACCATAGGAACTTTGAATGATAGACTCTATAGCAGGGGTGGGCAAACTGTAGATCCACAGCGGTTCTAGAATTGCAACTTACATGTTCATTTGACATTCAGAAGTTGGGCAAAGCCTCATGGTGGCTGTAGTTCTAAACATCTGGGAATCTACCTTTTGAGAGCCCTGGTCTACAGCAACATTTGCAGGTCATTCTTCACGGCTGTGTTCTAGCCACCCATTTTCTCTGAGCACAAGTACCCTATAAAGAACAGGTTGGTGTAACTACACTTTTAACATGCAGGTAAAATGCCCATTTGCATATGTTATGCATATTAGACTTATGCACTGTAAAAATGTTTGGTTCTTCCAAACTGATTTGGTTCTGATTGCCAACATTTTGTGTCTGTAAAGAATTTGGTTAGAACATTCAGCTTTGATTTGAAACAATTCAGATCAGAAGATATATTGATGGGAAAGTCCTACAATCAAGGAACAAAAGGTCACTGTAGTGATCCTTTAACAAAAATAAATTACTACTCTCACACTGCAAATTAGTGATTCAAAGTTGGTGGAAAGTGGCAGTTACTTCTTGCCTTAGCCACCAACCGAAAAACTCATTCCAAATTCTGAATGCACAACATTGGACTGATTATCTATTTGGTTTAAATTAGAGCTGCAAAGGTTTAAACATTATATGAGGAAGTATTACTTTACTGAGAGGGTAGTGGATTCATGGAATCACCTTCCAGCTGAAGTGGTAGAAGTTAACAGTGAGAAAGTTTAAGCATGCATGAGATAGGTATATGACTACCCTAAATATAAGAGACTAATGAGATCATTTAGAAAATTGGGCAGACTAGATGGGCCGAATGGCTCGTAACTGCCATCACATTCAATATTTCTATGTTTATGTCAAATTTGGATAGATTTTGGTTAAAAAATTTCAAAAATCAGAAATTTGTCAAATTGGATGAAAGACAAATATCAATTTGGATAACATCTCCAAGTCTATTTTTTTTTTTTTATTGTAGTGGAATTTTTAGAGAGCTGTATTCCCAGGACCCCATCCAGTTACTTAAAACTAATCATGAGTAGGATATTTTTCAGTATATTCTGTGTATTTTGTTACATCTCATGTATGAGAAATAGCTGAAATAAAACGCTTACGTTCTGACCCAGTCTGACATGTTGCAAGTTAAGGGATAACATACATCTCCATCATTCCCCTTTCAATAATTCTTTAAATAAAATGAATAGCCCAATACAACTGTGTAAATTGAAATAATTTTTATTTTATGATAACCCTGAACATGAAATTGCTTTTTTTCATCCTGTATTCATCTATTAGCTATCCAGCTAAAAAAAAAAAACATGGTTGGAAGGGAGGATAAAATTAATAGATGATCTATTTTAACCCCTTAAAGGGACACTCCAGGCACCCAGACCACTTCTGCCCATTTGAGTAGTCTGGGTGCCAACTCCCACTACCCTTAACCCTGCAAGTGTAATTATTGCAGTTTTCATAAACTGTAATAATTACCTTGCAGGGCTAACTCCTCCTCTAGTGGCTGTCTGGACAGCCACTAGAGGACACTTCCGGGTTTCTAGCACAGATTTTCTGTGCTACAGCATCGCTGGACGTCCTCACGCTATGTGAGGACCTCCAGCGTCGCTAAAATCCCCATAGGGAAGCATTGAAAGCATTTTTCAATGCTTTCCTATGTGGAGGTCTAACGCGCGTACACTGGTGGCCGTGCATACGCAATCAGTCTCCCCCACCGGATGACGTCGATGGAGGAGGAGCGTGGGCGGACCCTGGTACTGGAGTGTCGCTTTAAGGATGGAGGCAATTTAAGGATGGAGGCAATTATACAAGTTCTGATCAAAATAAAAAAAAACTGGAATTTGCACAATATGTCTGTTCAACCACAATTAATATCCATATTAAGTTCACCCACACTTATTATATATCACTTTGTTCAGGAGAAACAGTGCTTTCATTTTCCATCAAATATTTATATATGGAACACAATTTAATATGAATAAAATCTAAAAAAAGTGTGAGAAATGTAGAAATGTTGTCATTTTTCAAGTTCTCTGTGTCATTTTAACTGTGAATGTTCTAATAAGGTAAGCTTTTACTGCAATATTTCACTAGTACAACATAACCCCCCATGTATAGGTTTTATGGGGTTTAGGAAACTTACATGTCAAATATAGGGCTTTCACATTTTCCATTTTTGTCCATTGAAATTTGCCAGATTGGTTTGTTGGGACTATGCTGACTTTTGAGACCATACGGCAGCTCAGGAAGGAGAATTATCCCCAACATAGCATACCATGTGCAAAAGAAAACAACCAAGGGTATTTAACATGGGGTGTGTCCAGTGCTTTTAGTATCCACTTAGTCACAAACCCTGGCCAAAGTTATTTATTTATTTATTTTGCCCTATTATCAAAAACTGCGCTTTCACTGATGATATTATCGTCATGATACATTTTACTGTTTTAAAACACTCACATTTGTATTCAGCGAAGTATCCCGAGTATAACGGTACCTCCTATGTACAGGTTCAGGCAGGTCCCTCAAATTATAATTAATAAAAATGACTTAATTACGTGAAATTAATAGATTTTATATCATATATATAATTTAATTCATATATTATACATATATATATATATATAAAATTCCATTATAAGTGTATTTCTATATTAATATATTCATATATATTAATATCAAAGTACAGCAACAGTACAATTACTTTATGCATTATATATGTATATTATATTAATAAAATACTTTAATTATTTTATAATATATTAATTGAACTTTATTGAGCTTTTTTATTTTTTTCCCTCTTTGAGGGGCTGTCTGACAATCCCCTGCAGGCAGTACTATAGCCTCTTATTGCAGCAATGTGATCACTGTGATCGAATGGCTCTGGAGGGGCGAAGTTGCTGCAGGGGGATTGTCTAGGTTGCCAGGCAGTCTCCCTGGACCAGGATTGCAGGGATCGCTATTCTAGGTAAGTCGAGGATGGCTGGACATGCTGTGCCATCTGGCATGGTTTAGGACTGCCTCCTTCAGGAGGCATAGCAGGCCCGCTGTCCTTAATGAGTTAAGATAATATTATTAATTGCTGTTTGCAGAATGGGTTTGCTTCACTTTCCAAGACATAATGTGCACTTGGAATTTTTTTAGTATATCATTTACCTAAGCAGGCAGAAAAACAATCACACAGACAGACAAAACGTTCCGTTTCTTCTAAACAATACAAGCAACTTGCTACCGTATAATAAAATGCATCAATATATTTATTTATTATTTTGCCTAAAAGACTACATTGAGGTGCCCTGAACACCTTCTGTTCCTGTATGTTTAACTTGTCTTGTTTGTTAAAACCAAAGAAAAACATTACCTGCGCTCTTTCCACATCCCTATGTATTTTTAAACAAATGGAGGTTTTTAGTTACCTCCAGTGGCCATGAGAGGGTATGCCCACCCGCCATGTCAAGGCAGACCTTTTAGGTGGGTCCTTCTCTAACCATTTGCATTGCTTCCTTGAGCTTCTGGCAAAGATATCTCTCCTGACACAGAGAGGGGTATTTATTATATAAACCCCTACATATGTATTAACCCTTAATAGGGAACACATGGGATGGGCAGCAGCATTGTAACAAGGCTGTGTGATACAAAAGTGAATACAAATACAAAGAAACAAGTCCTGCGCTCAAACTCCCATTACTCCTGGAAAGCAGCAATGACCATAGTACACATCAGCCAAAATACATTTAGTAAAAACCAAAGGAAAAAAGTTACCTGCGCTCTTTCCACATCCCTATGTATTTTTAAACAAATGGAGGTAACTAAAAACCTGTTTTGTTTTGTTTAAAAATACATAGGGATGTGGAAAGAGCGCAGGTAACTTTTTCCTTTGGTTTTCACTATATGTATTTTGGCTGATGTGTACTATGGTCTTTGCTGCCGCCCAGGAGTAATGGGAGTTTGAGCGCAGGACTAGTTTCTTTGTATTTGTCTTGTTTGTTAGCCCACGTGCTGTACAGTGCTGCTGAATATGCTGCAGATTTTTTAAATACCAATAGTAATTCTAATTGTAATGTCTTGACGAAGCACAACATTTTAATTATAACGTGCTAAACATTCCTTGTTTTACTGTTTTCTAAAGTATTACATTGTATTTAAATATTGAAAGACCAGATATGTCAATGGATGATGTCATCAAGAAAAGGTGAATCCTCTAAATACGAGATGTGAAATGCATTGGTTCCTAATTGGTTAACATGCAGACATCTTTAGAATGTCCATACATTGTGTCCATATCTATTCTGCCATTGTGCTTAGCACCCTGCAATTTCTAGAGGATATTTACATTCTTTCAGCATTTTTACCACCTGTCATGCTGACACCATATGGTCTCTACAGCTGCCAATGTGCAAGGATAGTTTTTGAAATTTGGATGGTGCAGAGTCAGATGACCAATTACTTTGCACCAAGTTGCATTATTGCCAGAATATATATGGAAATCAGACTTATTTTAATTAAACGTTGCTTAAATGAATTCTATTATAATTCTTTTTTATTCCTATGTCAATACTGAGAATTTTACACTGCTGACCTAAACTTTCCTTTTTTTTTTTTTTAATTCTATACACCACATGCAGTCTTCTTTGGAATAATACACGTTTTGTAGTTCCCAAAAAAATCCTCACTAGCCAATATCCTTAAACAAAAACATTGTAAAAAAAATTAGGAGTGGACAGAAGCCTTAAATATGCTTACAGCAATTTCTATTGATGACATGGAGTCCTCTAGTGACCTTCTGCTGTCAGCCATCTTGTTTGCTGACTGCCTTCTTAAAACCTATAAATTGCTCATCTGGCTATTTCAAAAGACTTTGCTAAGAGTTTGAATTTCTGCTCTTTGAAAATATTTTTATTTTGGCAACAAGTCTTATCTGGAGGGTGGGGGGCACTTGAGAGGACAAGCATGGCTGAATGTAATGTCTGAAAAGTTAGCTGTGTGTGACAAGCTTAAATAAAGTACCGACAGGTGGAAGGAATTGTCAAACGCCGCAGGCGTTGAAGGAGCCCACCACAGAAACCCAATGTCAGGTCCCCCGCCCCTGCGGCACTCGCGGCGCTCTTGCTTACCCCATCACCATGAGCGGCGTCTTCTGGTTTCTGTCCACAGCTTGCAGCTGTCTCTGCTGCCATTCTCCAACCTGGCAGTGTTTCTGACGATGCACGCTCCAAGGCAGCTTCCTTTTATGTGTGTCAGACCCGGTCATGTGACCCGGCACACAGTGATGACCTCACTGATCACAAGAGAGGGAAAATACACCTCCCACGTGTTGTAATTAACACTAATTGGAAGTTAGCCAATCAGACACACCCTGTGTGTATATAAGTTCACCTCCCCCTTGCCTCGGGGCACTGTTGTAATGTCACGTATACCAGGAGTACCTAAACACGCAGACAGGCCACAGACACAAAGTTATTGCAATACCGGTCCTTGGAATGGCCGGGCTATGCAAAAGAGATAGAGTAGTCAGAGTACAAGCCAAGGTCAAGGATCACAGAAAACAGTGTAAACGAGAAACAAGCCAAAGTCAGTAACCAGAGAATAAACCACAATACAAACGCACTATGGGGCTATGAAAGACCACAACAGGGCACTGAGGCAAGGGGGAGGTGAACTTATATACACACAGGGTGTGTCTGATTGGCTAACTTCCAATTAGTGTTAATTACAACACGTGGTAGGTGTCTTTTCCCTCTCTTGTAATCAGTGAGGTCTTCACTGTGTGCCGGGTCACATGACCTGGTCTGACACACATAAGGAAGCTGCCTTGGAGCGTGCAGAGTCAGAAACAATGTCAGGTTGGGGAGTGGCAGCAGGGACAGCTGCAAGGTGTGGACAGGAACTGGAAGACGCCGCCTGCGGTGATGGGGTAAGCAAGGACGCCGCAAGCGGCTCAGGGGCAGGGGACCTGACACCCAAAATAGATATTAAAATGTTAATGGTCTGAATTTTGAACTATATTTTTTTACTTTATGGGCAATTCTGTATTTCTGTATCGTGCACTTTGTAACCGTTGAGTTGTTAAGGCACTGAACATTTGAAAAATTTCCCACTTTTGAAATTTCTCCGCGAATCACAGTTGTTGTAACAATATACGCTTTCATTTAATCTGTTGTTTTTTCTGTCACACTATGCATGAGGCACCACATTCTTCATGTTAACTCTCATAAGTGAGGACCAATATTCCAAATTGTTGTTGCTACTCTTGAATGTCATTTTAACCCATGCACGAGCAGATTGAAACTGGGTATGTTTGTTGGTATGTCTTGTGTACATACCACATATATGTTTTGTTAACATTCTCATATCTATATGAGGATAGCTTAAATAAATGAATGGATCTTCAGCTGTAATTCTCAAAAAACTGCTTGGAAGATTTAATCTTTCTACGAATGCTATTGCGGTGAAAATACAATATTTGCAGAAAGCAATGGAGTATTAATTTTAAAGTAAGTCGTAACAATTTTAATCAAATGTACTAATAAAAAAAGATTTTCTGAGTGTACAGACTTGCTACTGATGCATTACGTCTATTGTAACTGACACTATAATAATTACTAACCCATTTGCTCTCCTCTGATCTGTTGTTAGTGGAAGCGAATAAAGGTGTTATGAGGACATTATGCAAGTATTTTGGAATAAAGAGACAATTTGTACTGAGGAATTCTGAAAGGTAAAAAATAGGAATAACTAGCATTTTTTCAATTGCATTTGCCTGATCATGGTAAAGAGTGAAGTATTCCAGTTTTAGTTTTCATGCTAAAAAAAGGTCAATGTTTTTTTTTAGTAGAATGACAGAGAAAAGCACGATATAGACAAATTATATGTAAGAATTTGGTATCTGTAGACAGAGGTTAAACAGTCTGCATTAATGCAGCTCAACCACAGGCTAAGCGCCATAATTATTACAGCCCACTGTAGTGCTTATGGTGTTGTGCCACAGTAAGATGTCAAACCATGTAGAGTAATCCAAATTCTCCTACAGAAGGTCAGATGCAGAAGATTGTTTCTTGATCTAACTTTTTATTTTTGCCTTGAATCACTTTTCCAACCGAACAGGAAAAAATGCAAAACAAAATTAAAAGATAATCACAAATTCTAATTGCATTGGGCTTATAGACGAGATAAAACACTCACATATAAGCTGGTCCTTATTTGTATTGCTAGACTACTGAGATTACTACAAAAATAAGAGTACTACATGTCCATGGTTAAAATCAACCCCCTGATGGGCTTTTCTTATCTAATCGGCCCTGCAGTGGGCACATCTAATGAAATCACACCACTACTAGCACTAATTGGTGCCCAGCCAGAGTACTGCTCTCTCAGGGTGAAGATGAAATGGATGTAAAATCCCTGTGTGAAGAAATTACCAAAACTAGTAGGAATCTAAGATACAGCAGCTCTGAGACTTCAAGACAAGAACCTGCTGTATATCATCACCTATATGTACTGCTAAAGATCAACACACTTACTCTAAACACGAGTTTGTCATAAAAACCTCTCACAGCAATATCAATAATTTACTGGTACTAAATTCTACTAAATTACTTTTTTATCCACCTTATTGGAGGAGATAGGGCCTGCAGAAAGTAGTTAAAGTCGCAATTATTTTCATGTGTCCGGATTCTCAACAATCAGCTATGACTAATCCCATCCTAATCACATTGCTTTTAAAGTCTTCTCAGCCCTTTTAGGACCATAAAGCTAAAAGCCACCTATAAGGGACATGTTTGTGCTGCCGCCACTAATAAGGCTATGCAGATATTATACGCCTTTGATTTATGAAGATTGCCTTAATGCTTTCCATCGAAAAAATACATGGTAGATTGAATGGTAGTTTTTCACTAATATAGCAATCTCAACCACCATTCCTGATCCTTTCAAAAACTACTCTGGAATGGAATAATATCCAGAGAACTGACAATTCTAGCATAAACAACTGGTTCAACATGAGGCATTAGTCATTGAAAGAGCTAAATTCCATTCTAATGATTTATAGACGTGGGCCTTCCAGACGGACTTTAAAGGTATCTCAGGAATATCAATCAAAAGGGAATCTAATAAAATGGAGTACACTGAATAATGGCTCCAAATAAATGTCCAAAATGTGAAGTGGAGCAGATAAATAATTGGTAAATGAAGCTGACTCCTAAATATCTGTCTACGCCCCACTTAGCAAAATTGCACACATGCTTTAGCACGTAAGAAATAAAATAAAATTCAGACAAATAGCTTTAATGTATACAAATAAAAAAAGAGTGGAAAATGCAATTAATAATTAGTTGTTAATAATCGCAAATATACTGAATTAATCAATAAAAACTGTCCAATAGGTAATGGCAAGAAAGAAGATACATAGTAGCCTTAACTTATTCCTCTTAGTAATTTGGGCAATTAATCTTTATTTAAACTACAAGGTAATAAATAGTGTTAGCAATTAAATGTGTAATTTCCCACATGCCTACCCACGTAGTTAGGTATCTTTAATTGTCATCGTTAATGGTAGAAATAAAATTGTGAATTGCCAGTTGACCTATTCTTATTTATTTTCTCAAGGTTGAAAAAGGATGATATGAAAACTATTACTTAAAAAAAAGGTTTAGTGTTTTCCTACTATGCAGGGAGGGAGGCTAGGTTCTCAATCTGTTTAGTAATGATGCAATACTTAAAGCCTAAGCACCTAAGCACCATGACCTCGTTTTTGTGTTTTGAAGTGGTCATGGAGCATGGAGCCAGTTATGATGCTTGGAGTAACTTTTTAATCTGATTTCTCACTTACACATGACCAGGTTAAGCTTTCATTGATCTCTTTCTATGCCTCCCTGGTTAACATTTCTATTT